AGATCTTCTCGCAACCCGGTTTGAAACATAGACAAGATTTGCGCGGGGGTGGTAGAGGTCTCCCCCTTGCATCGAATCAAGTAATCATCGAAGGAGGCGATGTACTCCTTAACTGGTTTATTTCCTTAAGTCAGCATATTCCACCTATACAATAGTCGGGGAAAATACGAGGGAGGCAAGTAATTCTATTTGAGTTCCCGTTTCAGGGTTGGCCAATCAGTAATGGGGTACTCATTCCTGGCTTCCCTAAGGCTCTCTAGGTTAGACCAAAATTGACTTGCCCTACCCGTAAACTTCATTTCAGCAAAAATAACTTTCCTAGCTTCGGAGATGTTATACCACTTAAAGAAACTGTCCATACCTTTGATCCAATCCAGGAAGAGCTGGGGATCGAGGGTGCCATCAAAGGTAGGTGCGTCAACCTTAATATTCTTCATAAGTGGTGCATCAGGATCATGACGTGGATCATGTCCGTTGTAAGGTGCTCGACGATTGGCACGGTGATGCCTCTCGTCTAAATCTGGATCATGACGTGAGTCATGTCCGTGATAGTGAGCTCGATGATTTGCACGATGTTTCCTCTCATCCGGGTAGGTTTCATCCCCATACAAAGAAGGTGGTCTAGATGGGGTGTAGGGAGTCGGGTTTTCTCTACCTCGCTCAAGTGTGTCAAACCTCTCGGTGGTGGTCCTACGGAGTTCAGCTAGTTCAGCTTGGTTTTTCTTCAACTGTTGGCTTATGGTGTTCATTTGACCTACCCAAAGGTTTAAAGTCCTTCATAGTTATTCCGGGTCCATTCCTAAACACAAAGGGGTACTTGGAAGGCTTCCTAGGAAGTGGACAGCAAACTAGGGGATGGAAAGACACTCAAAAATGACCCTATATGGTGCAGGAAATTCAGGGACAGCAAACTACACTAAGGTACTAAGTCACCCTAGCAAGTAGTGAGGTAGGTAAGTGATGGACACCAATTAGACGACCAAAAGATGACCCTATAACCAATGTTTAAAATTGCGTATTCGGGTATTGAGGCGTTTTCCATTCGTGAGGCGAGGCGTAAGCCTCAAGGCGTCTTGAGGCGTAAGCCTCAAAATCAAAGGATTGCGTAATCATAAAATGATAATTTTTTTATATACTAATGAGTGAATAATATAAAACATAAAAAAGTATAAGATATAAAGTGAAATCAAAATATCTCAATAATAAGACAACATGAAATATAGTTCAACTCAAAATTCTATCTTTCCCAAATCCTAGTATTCTTTTCATTAACATATAATTCCAATTTCCAAAAATAAATATTAAATAGCAATGACATATCGCATAAGAACTCAAGTCATCAGCACTGTCATCACTAAGGGGTTCTTCATTTGAATCATCATTATGATGAAATGCTCTCTCCCCTTCCTCCTCTCCTATAGAGTCCAATGTCGGGCATTTACTTCAAGATTTATGTAAGTTTTAATATATATAGCGTGAGGCGTAAGCCTCATGCCAGTGAGGCGAGGCGGGCCTCAAGGCCCGCCTCACCAAGTTGAGGCGCAAGCCTCATAAAAAAAACTCGAGGCGTAAGCATCAAGGCGTTTTTTACTGGAATTGCGCAAAGGCGGGCCTCAAGGCGAGCCTCATATTGCGCAATTTTAAACCTCTAACTCTCTAAATGATGCAGAATTTTTCTGGACAGCAAAGTAATCAATGATTTAAAATGTTATCAACAATGATATGCATGTAATGACAACTAAGAATGATTATGTAGCTCCCTAGGATGATTTCTAGCATATATAGCCTATGCTAGCCATGCTCTGATACCAGATGATGTAGAACTAAATGCTTTAAAAGAATGAAATAAGAATTTGCACAATTTCTAGATAAAAACAATTAAGATTAGAACTACTAGTAAATCCAAATGATCAAATAAAACATAAGAGAGGTCACTACCGTTTAGGCTAAGTTGCAGACTAAGCACTTGGATTATCAAAACAACATAGAAAATCAAGTCATGCAAATAGAATAGCCTTCAACAAAAATCCCTAATCTAACAATAAGATTAGAAGCAAATAAAAGTACACTCAATCCTACGTTTATTAAGCTTTGGCAACGGCGAAAATAAATCCTAAGTTTACTAAGCTTAGGCAAAGGTGAAGCTCAACTCCTTGGGATTCCTCATCACCTACAAGATTAGGGGATTAGAAAGGTAATTGAAGAGGGGGAAAAGTTCACCTTACTCAAAGTCCGGAAACAAGTAGTCGAGATGTTGAAGAAGTTTGTTGTAGGAGAGGCCATGTTCTGTTTCCGGGTCAGCCATCCATGTGAGAAGTCGTTGTTTTGACTTTGGGAAGGGTTGGATGACACGGAGAGACTTCTCCGATGTTGCTACAGCGAAAAAGAATCCAGCGGAAACTGATGTACAGCAGTTTGATCTTCCAAACAGCAGTTACGAGGCTTGCAATGGCTGTGTTTGCATGGGCAACGGCAGAATTTTCCTGGCTGCAGTCTTAGGAAGGAAGGAGGGTCAATGTTAAGTGGAGTTTGGAGAGTTGTAATGGAAGAAATCCCACAGGAAACCCTTGGGAAGTTTCAGCCAGCAAAGGAAATTAGGGAAAGAATTTAATTCTCCAAAATAGATGGCTGATTTGGTAAGATTTAGGCGGTGCAGGCACAGAGGAATTTCGTCCAGGTTAAGAGAATTGGTTTTGAATTCTTTCCAAGTGCATGTAGGGGTTTAGGAAATAAATCATTGCATTTATTATAGAGGGGGGGCCGGCGGTATGATGATGAGGGAGGAGATTGGGGAGATGATTTAGGTCACTTAAATTAAGAAATTAAATTTGGAAAGGAAGATTTCATCCAATTTAATTTGAAATTTAAATAGGCGATGAAATAGAAAGTTACCCAAAATAGGATTATAAATTAGGTAATTATTTTAAATTCAAATAGATTTGAATTTACTCATGAATAGAGTTACCTAAAATACAAAAGACTATTTTAGGAAAAGTTTAATGGCAAGTTGGTGATGGAGAGAAAAACTAAGAGGGAAAATTTGAAAACTTTTCTAAAATAGATTTTATAATTTAGGAAAGAATTTGAATTTCAAATTTGGGGAAATTTGAATTCAAAAACCAACTAAATTATGGCAATCTAAAAATTAGGAAGTATCCAAAAAAGGCAATGGGGGATGGGAGGGGACTAGGCCGGCGGGTTGGGCGGGTGAGTGGGTCGGCGGCAAGGCAATGGGTGTTGGTGATGTTTCGGTGGGTGGGAGAAAACGACGAGGAAGAAATAAAATCTTGAAGGGGAAGTGGGGGATGGAGTTAGAAAAAATAAATATAGGAAACCACGAACCCGGCTGTGCCCAAGGTTGGTGGGTGATGCGCCAATCTCTATCTCCAATGGATCTCTCTCCAATCACTCAAGCTCTCTCAAGAACTCCAAGCAAGAAAACAAAATTCTTCAATAATCATTCATTAACTTTTGAAGAGCAACATGAGGGCTATAAATAGCCTCTTACAAAAGGACTCAAAATAAAAAGATGACAATGCCCTTAGGACTTACATACGACCTCCCTTAAGAAAGGGGTAAAACGGGAAAACAATTAAGACATAAATAATAAAAGACAAATATCATAACAAATGACAAATACATGAAAATGACTCGAAACTACAACGACTCAATTGTGGCCGTAGATCGACGGCTACGCCTCTGACATACGATTCATGCTCTGATGTCCTCATCAGTGTCTTTGTTTAGTTTGGGAACATTAAATATAATATTTTAACCCTAAACATAACAAGATCAAAATTGAGGATGGAGATCAGATCATTCTCAAGATTTCACCTATATATATATATATATATATATATAGTTCCAAGATTGGAAAAAATAGAAAGCTTCAACCTTGCTACAATGGTCATTTTAGGTTGATTTAGAGAGTGGTCATGGTTTCATGCCTATTGATTCTTCCTTTGAAGTTTTCAAGAGGACATAATATTTTCCCCTTCTTTTTCTTACAGGATTATATGTAGGATGATTCTCACATTATTCAGTATGAGCCACTATTGATTCAAGAAAACCTAAGCTATGAAAAAATACAAAAGCAAGTTTTGGATTGTGAAATTTGTGAGTTTTGTCATTGAATTATTCTTTTTGTCAAGATATACTAGAAGAATCAATTTTAATGAAAATAACATAGAAGACCAAAGAAGTGTTGATTATTTTAAGGGGTAAAATGTAGCAAGCTTGCTTTAACAAATAAATAAATAAATAAATACTTCTTTCCACTGACGTACAACTCCATCCCAATCGAGGACTTCACTGATTTAGTTTCCCAGCTTCATCAAATTGCAGCAAGCAAGAATCTCACTCCACAAATGCCTTCATCAAGTGATTAAAACTTAATCGAGGACTATTTTAAAGTTTTATCTTTGACTTATTTGCTCTAGAATACATACTACCTAATTTTAACTCTTAGAATTGTCTCATGAGTTGGGATTAGATCCCTTCACCAAGTTCTGTGTTATCAGGTGTACCACATTCCAATCCTAGGTGAGATAAAAAGCAGGAGAATCCAAAGATTGATATGTAATAAATTCATAAAGTATACATAAAGAAATGATTATATGAAAGAAATTATGTGAACATCACCTATTGAAGATAAGAAATTGAAAAATTGATTTAGATACTTTGAGCATATATATTGGCGGATCAAAAATGTATCTATAAGATAGACAAAGAAATATCTATGCTTAGCAAGAAAATGCAAAGGGTTTTGCACAAAATAGATTCAACATTTCAAACAATACTCAATATGAAGGAATGAAAAATGACAATTCATAGAACAAACACAAATAGTTAGGATAATGATGATGATTTTGGGAAAAACGAATAATAAGATCTACAATAAACAAAAGTTCAAATAATTTTGTCCACACTGCGAAGATGCAGAGTTAGATCCTCCAAAGCTGCTGAGAAGAAAACTCATTCCTTCACTTTGCCAAACTTACTTCTATCCAGGACAATGCAATCATTGTGATAGATGTCATAACGACTAAGCCAACCTCCAGTGCCATGCCCACCAAACACCAAGAGCTGTGGAAATAAAAGCAAGGTTACATGCAACAATAGTCACTGAAATAAATGTGCCTGCAAGTACTTAAAACATAGAAGTTACAAATTTTTAAAAATGGAAAATGATAATACAGAACAAATAATGGCAATTGAGTATTCATCAACTCTAAAATGCTTTACAGATAGTCCTGATCAAAGTGCAATGCGCGGATGAAATTACAACTCCAAATAACATAAGAGTTTGTAACATCCAAATTAGTTTTGCTAGAGATAATCATGGGATCTCAACAGTCAATATTCATTTGTTTTTGCACAGAACTTGCCCTTCATGGGATAATTCAAAATAAAATGATTGTTACGGCAAAAAGCCAAAGACAAATGATGACCTTAGTTTTCCATATATACGTAATTCATGCTGCAATTGTTTTTTCAGTTTTGAATCAAGGTTTAAAATTATGCAATTGGTATTGAGACGTTTTTCGTTTCTGAGGCGAGGCATAAGCCTTGAGGCATTTTTCATAGGAATTGCGCTAAGGCAGGCCTCAAGGTGAGCCTTATATTACGCAATTTTAAACAATGGCTTTGATAAATTACGGTTCACAACATAGTCATCATTAGCCGAATCATAACGATAGACATTCACTTTTAGAATTCTTCTTTCATTCTACAATTCATTCATATTAAATGCAACATGTGGCTCTGCATAAATCATCACCATAAAATGAAAATTTTCATCAAACTGTTTTGAATTTAATTTTCTTGCACCTCTTGTGCAATAGAAATTTTGATGAGTTGCAAATTACTATACTAAATTACAGGTCAGTAAATTTACGTTTGCATTTTTTCTCAAAGAAAACATATGCACAAATATAAAGAGAGACACGTGCAGTCTTGCGAATAAACAACTAAAATTTAAAAACCATTTAAAGGTTTGCAGAACATGAAGAAGACATCCATTCAATGTTCGGATTACAGTTTAACTTCACATCAATCTCAAGCTACAATATATAACCAAAAAACTTATGTATAATAATAAATAAACAAAAAATATACAAAAATAAAGCCAATTATGTAAATATTATTTAGTAGCAAGCAATATTGTAAGCAAGAAATTCAGAAACTACCAGCAAAATTAAAATACGCAACAAAAACGTGTTGAAACACTAATCTTTAGCCAGGACAAAATGAAGTGAAGGAGAAAATGTAAGTAAAATGTTGAAAGTCTCATACAAAGGATTTATGCAGCACCAATGACAACAATAAATTAAGTTATATGAGTCTAAAATACAAAATAATCCTCATGATCAATATCATTTGCCTTATCCAATCTATTTAGTGTATGCCTTACGCACCCTTCTCAATTTATTCTTGTTGATTGCTCCAGTAAAACCCGAAAAATAACGATCTTCAGCATCGCACGCATTTCAAATTTCAAAGTCGTCAGAATTTGATGCAATAAATTTCATAAAATAGTACGCAAAATTCTGAGCGAATCGGTATAAAGAACCCATATTGAATTTAGCGTATTTTGGAAGTTAAAATTCGCAAAGTCTCAATATGATGAATTTACCCCTCATGGCATGTAAGTGGAGGAGTTGTTAACTGAGGGCATTTAGGAGATTAGGCAATTAAAATGAACCTTCCACTCTTATTAAGGGACCGAAATATTTCGGTCCCATTTCTTTCATGCGGCCCGAACCGAGCAGAAGAAGCACGGGAAGGAGGCGACGGGAGCGGCGACAGTGGTCTTAAGGGCAGTTTCCGGCGGCGGTTTGCAAAGAGGATTGAAGGGAAATCGTAAGGAAGGTTAAGGTATGTTGTTTATAAGAGTTTTCTCATTCTTTTATGGAGTTTTCTCTAAGGGGGGGAAATATAGGGTTTTTGTTAACCATCGGACATATCCCGCAAATCCCGCTCAAACCCGCTAAAATCCCAAAAATCTCGCAACGTACCTCTGCATTCGGTGCCGTTTTGAGATTTGCTCGCCTCAATCGCTCCCCTTCTACGCTATTAAAACGAGAGCGAAGCTCTCGGTCGCTGGCTGCTCTCTCTCTCTCTCTCTCTCTCTCTCTCTCTCTCTCTATCCTGCATCCCTTTCTCGCCAAATCGAAAGTTACAACACTTTGGTCGGAAGCAACACCGGAGCTCGCCGACTGTGAAGAGAACTTTCTCCCCTCCGTCGCGTCTTCGGCTCCCTCCGTGGCTGGACGACTTCGCTCTTCCAGCGACGTTCCTTTTCTGCCGGATCGGAAGCTACAACATTTTAATCGGAAGAAGGAACGAGAGCTCGCTCGCCTTGAAGGCAACGTTCCGGCTCCCTCAACGACGTTCCCTTCATGATCGGATCGGAAGTTAAGACATTTCGCGGAAGCTCACTATGAAGGTAACTTTTTCCCTTCCATGCGCTTCTTCGGCCAAATCCCGTAATCTATTAAGGCAAAGGAAGAGAAATGGAGGCTTTAACTTGATATGGGATTTACAGTTCCTAAATCCTGTTAGAATCGGCACTAATCCCGTTAAACTGTGTACAAATCCTTTTTAAATCCTGCAATCCGACAACCTCTTAGCCTAAATCTTGCTTTAATCTTTTTTAATCTTATTATAATTAATTAAAATTATTTAAAACTAATTATTTTTAGTTATAATTAATTATAAATTAGTTATAATTAACTAAATTAATTATAATAAATTATATCTAATTATAAATTAATCATAATTAATTAATTTTAATTATGATTGTTTTTTATAATTAATTAATAATTTGTCATATTTTTGTTATAATTAATTAAATTTAATTATGTCCAATTATTTATAATTAATTATTATTAATTATAATTAGTTATTAATTATAATAAAAAGAGAAAACCTCTCATTCCCTTGCCTCGATTTTTGTGCCAACTCCATCAACATATCCCCGCGAAGGTACGAATATTTCTAAACTCAGATTCTCGCTCTCGAAGTTCGCGGCACACCGGAAAACCGCCTATACGCCCCTTTATTGAGCGTGATGGGATGGGACCCCGGTGCGATGCCTACGACGAGGCAGATAATCACCTAAAAGCCCTATTTCAAAGTTCGTGGCGCACCGGGAAACTGCCTATACACGCCTTTATTGCGTGTGGTGGGATGGGACCCCGGTGCGGCACCTACGGCGAGGCGGGATTATTCATAAGTACCCTCGAGCGAGGGGAAAGCAAACTGTCTTCTTTAAACAGGTACCGTCAAAGACCCCATACACGCCTTTATTGCACGTGGTGGGAAGAAAGATCACGGTCGCGGTGTCCTCGTCCGATGACACCTACCATACACGCCTTTATTGCGTGTGGTAAGGTCCAGTTTCTCGTAGTTTTCCCCTAAACGAGGGAGACGTCGGGAGGCTGCCGAAATTTTGAGTGAACATAAGACTGTACCTGGACTTGATTGAACTCAAAAGGACAACATGACTTGTGGACTTGAATTCAAACAAATTAAGCAAAGATCTTGAAGATAAATATGATTTGGACCTAAATGAATTCGAACTTGAAACTTGAACTCAAATTAGAAAACAACAAAAGACTTGGACTTGAACTCAAGCAAGAACTTGATTTGAACATTAAGCCGATAAGGCTTGAACTTAATTGAACTCAAAGGACTGTAGGGGACATAGAACTTGAGTTTGATGCTTGAACCTGCAAAGACTTCAGAAAACCCTGAACAAGCACTTGAACTTGTACTTGGAACTTGAACTGTGCAACATCAGGGGACTTGAACAAGACTAGAATATCAAACAAAGACTTCGATTTGGACTTGATCTGAATTGAACACAAGGGCATGTGAACTTGAACACTTGGACTAGATTTGGACCAAGCGGCATTAACTTGAGATAGGATCTGAATTCAAAAGGACAAATACGGAGAACTTTGAATTTGACTTGAACTCAAATTCTCAAAATTCAACTTGTTTTAACAAGAAGTTCCAAGTACAACTTGCTTGTAAAGAGAAATTAACAATAGTTTCTGTTTGTAAGCTATGGCACGAAATCCTCAACGAACATCAAAGGAGAATCATGGTGATTGAAATGCAAAGAACTATTAAGCGACATGCACACAAGCAACAATAATTCAATGTCAAACAAATGCAATGAACCTTCAAGACTCCCTGTGCACACAACAAGGAAGATGCAAGAAGTCCAACACAAGTGTTAAGATGTATATACAACCTATGATAGAGCGGTGACAAGTAGATGCATCTGTCCTCTACAAGCCGAAGAGATTTGATATGCAACAAGTACAAATACCTACAAACCTTTGTAGGAGGCCTGTTGTATATTCAACACATGTTTGTGGGCAAAGTGTGAAAGATTTGCAATACATCACAAACATGTATAAGCATGGTGTAATAGACTCCTACGATAATCCCTACAAATGCCTATAGATTGAGATGGCGATACTGGCATTCAATAGCGGGAGATCGTCCTTTACAAACAAGTACAATCAATACCACCTGAGATTGGTGAAAGGTGGATATGATATTGATGTAAATGGTTCTTTTACGAATACTCCTAGGAGCTCGTAGTGGATACGACGGGTCCCTGCAAATGAGCACGAGCTACTTGTGGATAACAATAGTGGGTGTATCGCAAGTACACGAATCATTGTGGACATAAGTACAGATATCACCTACAGCAACGGTGATTGAGATGCTGCTAGTACGTCGTGTATGAAGACGATCCGATATACGAAAAAAGACACCCCCTGGCAAAAGGAAAGGGATGTTTGAACAAATTAGAACTAAACTTCCTGGTGTTTCAAAATTTCTTCTTAATCCTATACTTAAAAAGAAAACAATTTTGGTATCCACAAACACCGGAAATAATGAGTCTATTACACTGGTGATCTTGAAAGGAGTTCTTTTCAAGGCGGCGGTCATCGATCTCAAAGTCCAAAAGAATCTCCCTAGTGAGTGAGAAAGGGGGGAGTCAACATCAAGATGAGGAGATGCCTCATAACATCAAGGTCATATTGCCACAGGATCTGCAACAC